AACGTGTTTTGTCTTGCATGTTGCTGTTGCCATTGCTGAACTGCACCACCCACTGCCTCACTGCTCATAACCACTGTTTGATCTCCATAAACATTCAGCACACATCAGTGAATGTGCATGGGTGCTATTTTTTCTGCATGGAGAAATTCAATAAAAAATTTTTGCATTATACACACTTCTGTCAGACACAATCCTGCCAGACTGCCCCTCTGCTGCCCTCTGTTGAACAACAACAAAGTGTAACAGAATATTGGTGAGAAGGTTCAACCTCTATTGTCATACCACCAGCATCCACCTTTGATGTCATGGACCAACACGACAACATAGGAGGCATTACTTTTGGAGCATCCATCATATATGATCATAAATAACAGCAAAATTTCTCTCTCCGCCATGCATTTTGATCTTGCTTTACCCGAAATTATGGGAATTATATCTGGCATCGGTTTGTACAAATGTACAATGGTTGTGTTCTGCTCAGGGAGTAAAACAGCGCTGCCACAGAAAATAAGATCAAATGCTCCCTAAACATCTTTCCAGAGAACAATGAAGAGGAAAAAATTCCCATACAGTTGTCTTGTCTAAACAGCATTTCTAGAACATCCTGTACAGCAGTGAAACCTTTAGATAATAGGTTTATTAATAATGAGATTAATATCATATATACAGGCTAGTATAACTTACTCTGATAGATAATTATTAAGCACTGACCTTAAAATGCAAATTGCTTACATATTAGTATTTGTAATCTGCTTAAATGTAGTTTAAACAAACATTGATAAAACATGAGTGCGCTTGTTTGGAATGTTAGAAGAAACAATTTGCCTTAGTTTTAAATGATATTAATGTAACTAACTGTGGATGTAAATTTGACTTGCATAATGTAACAAAAGAATAAAATAATAATATGAAAAGACATCTCAATAGATTTCAGAAGGTCATCTCTTTGAAGCCCAAGCTTCACAAGATGTGTAAAACCCCAAGCTTTTTAACAGATGTGGAAGATGGTTAAAAGAAGTTGTAGAATACATCTAAAACATTTTCTCAGGGCCAAATACAAACTGTAGAGAAGAGAGAATGCAGAAGAGAGAGGCAATAAACTTCAGTAATGGATATAGAATGTCATTGGCTCACCATTTTGTTGTTAAACTGTGAAAATCTTACCTTTATCTTTGTCTTTCTTCTCCTACAAAACCTTCTGAAGTTACCAGGCTGAGTAATTTTCTCTGATGTTAATGAAGAATTAAGTTCCTTCAAACGAAAGGGACCCACTGTGCCTCTTATATTCACATGTTGCCCCCAAACTAGAAAATTTGACAGTTATTTTATGAAGAGAACAGAGTTGACATCAAGTGTCTTAAATGTAACCTGCTGGTAGCTGCTACAAAGCATCTATTTACTCATGTGGAATCACACAATCTGATGTGATGTTTCTGTGGTCATTCCTGCTGTCTGATTAAAGGCTGATGACATTCCACACAAGGGCTTGTTAAGGAATGGAAGACCTTCGACAGCTGGAGGAAGATTAGTGACCTGATTAGTGAATTTTAGAGCATGTGGAATAGGCTGCACCTAAAGGTATCAAAGTAGAAGGATTCACTCATTTTACCACTGACACTCAAACCGGGCGAAAGTCAAGACAAAAACTCTCTCTCACCAGAACAATATACAAACTGCAGGGTGCTGTTCACTAATGGGTTAACAGTATGCAGGAGAAAGAGCAGCCAGGGATTGTGTAATAACTATGGGATATTTCTAGGGTGTTAGAGGAATATATATTGGGGATGCACAGAGGAAGAGCCAGAGAAAAGGAAAGGTCAATCTGGAAAAACAGAGTGCCTAATATCAGCTTTACAGGGATTCGTACTGCATACATGTGAGTCCTAATGAACTTGGACTACCAAGTAGAATGCAAGTAGAGTGAGAGTTCTGAGTGCTAGGTGTAGTGGTCCTGACCAGGAAACTATAGCACATTATTCCTGATTAATATCAGTAATCCAGAGAATTATGTTTTTATTAATCAGAAGATGTGGGAGTCTAAATTTAGTCACTCTGCTCACTCTGCAATACCTTCTAATCATAGTATCACAGAATGGCTTCGGTTGAAAGGAACCTCAAAGATCATCTAGTTCCAACCCACTGCCATGGGCTGGATATTCCCCACTATGTCAGGCTGCCCAGGGCTCCATCTAACCTGGCCTTAACCACCTCTATGGATGGAACATCCACAGCTTCTCTGGGTAATATGTTCTAAATAAGAAAACTCAGGAGATCCAGCATCTTCAACCTTCTTTTCTAGTCTACGGTTCTAATTAATAACATTTTTCTGTAGATATCATGATGAGATTTTTTTGGAGTGAAATAGATCTATGTGCCCTATGGATATCACAGCTGGAAGCAACTAGGAAGAGTTTGGTAGACTATCTGCATAGGAAGAAATGAAAGCTCAAGAGGATAACAAGTCTGAGAAAATCACTTCAGCTGGAGAAGAAATTGATTTAATCAGCTAGAAATGGAGAGCTGTCTGCTGTACAGTTCACATGACATTTTGAGAAGATGTGGAAATACAAGCTTTAAATTATACAGGCTTAGAAATACCAGCCGAAACCATGACACGGTATAAATTATTTTCCTGTTCTCCTCTGGTCATCTCCCTCCAGAGCACCAACACTCATTTGTCTAGGCACATTATTTCACAGAATGCCATTATTTTCCTAAAGACTATTATTCTTCAGTTTTGCCCTAAAAATAAAATAGATAACCTTTGAAGGCTTGGAAGCTATTTTTAATTACATTATAGAAAGAATCCTGTGTAATTTTGCATTCACACAACTTTCTTCATTGTGTCTTCAGTGATCTATGCCAATGACAGAACTGGAATCGTAGGTTAAAATCTCCACCATTTAGGTGATAAAAGATGATATCTCAAAAATCATTTTGTAGAAAAACTCTTTCAGAAATGTTAGTGTTTCTTTTATGACATAGCATATACATTTCTAGATGCAATTTTATATAGAAATTATAAATACTATTTATCATATATCTTTTTATAATCATGGAGATTTTATAGTAATAATATGCAACATTTATCCATTTCTGTATACAATTGTAAACATAATTGGCCTTTGACAGGTTTATTTTCCCTCAATTTATCAAGGATATTGAAAATTAAGAAGAAAGAGAGTGAAAAATCTCAAATTCATTCTGCAGTGAAAACCCTTAGTTTCACTGTTTGTGACATTTGTCAGCAAGTCCAAGAAATGGTGCTTCCCTATTGCTCAAGAAGGAATATATATCTTTCAAAGTACACACTAAACATCTCACAGTATCACAGCATACACTGTATGTTACTGCAGTCTTTAGAGACATGACTGAATTTAGCACTTCTGTTTTTGCCTACGAAGTATCCACTGAATTTTGTAAATTAGACTTCAGACTGTTCAGTATAGAATCATGAAACTAGTGTGCTTGAAGCACTGAGTATAAAATCTAATCCGTTTTATGCATGTTAACCATAATGCTCATAAAAATCACATTAGGAAGCAGAAAGTCTGAATTTTCTTCTTTTTGTTACCAATCTGAAAATCTAAGATTCATGAATAAATTTTATGTAAAATAGAATTGAAGTATATTAAGTAGTTCAAACTAATGACTCTGGAAACTCTATATCTGAATAAGCAGAATAGTCCCTTAGAAAATAAAGATCTTCCTTTGAAATCCCAATTTTTGCCTGCAGTGATGAATTCTTTTCAGGTGTATTTCTTGAGTCTTTTGTCCTACTGTTTCAAAAGCAAAACATTTTCAGTTGTTTTCTTTTGTTTGACTAATATTTATCATCCATCACTTTCAATTTTATTGGAAAGAAAAACACCAAATCCATGAGATAAAGGGAACTCTGCATTTTCTGATTTTGCCATCAATTTTGTATTGTAAGACAAGAGTCAGTTTTCTAGGAGGTCAAGCAAAAAAATGTAGCAATCATCTCATCTGTGCTATCAAGCTCCATAATTTTTTTAATAGAATTTTAACCCAAGTGGAGAAACATACTTCAGAGCACAGCAAAATTTGATTATATTAGTGTTATCTAAAGTATTTCAAGCCACATTCATGTTGAAAAATTGCGAACAAGGAAAACGATGCTAAAAGCTAAAAAAAATAACCTTATATTAAACGTAGTTTATGTTCACATTTTACTCTTGACTTGATGAGATGTAGCAAAAAGAAGAATTCTGCTGGTAAAATCTCCTATTGCTTATTCCCAATTTAGATTTCATACAGTATCATACATATACCTATGATTTTTATTATTATTTTTTTTAGTAAAAGTAAATAATTCAAACGATGCATAGACTATCAAAAGGAATGGCTGGAAAATACAGTCTCTGTTAAAAGGAGTTTTCCTTTGAGACAGTCAGTGTTTTGTTGACAGAACAATTTTAGCTGCTTAAGTCATTCAAAACAATAGTAAAACTTCAATTTTCAGCACAGCAGAACAAAAAACTAATATGTTATATTTTTAAAACTGTAAAAGTAGTTGAACACAAAAAATGGAAAAGATATGGGGTACTTCAACAATAACCCAAGGAGCCTGCTGATTGGTCCAAGGAGCCACATCTGAGAAGCCATCCTAAAAACTGAACCAAACGCTGCAATACTTCCTCAAACTACACGGGGGTCAGAAGTACACTGCGAGGATGGCACACCTCCTGTCCCTGTGCCACCATGGCACCCACCCACCCACAGAAGACAGGCAGGCAGAGGGACCAGGCTGTGCTGTTGCTCCAGCTGCACACCTGCACGCCCCGTGCTCCCCTCATTCTGTGGATCAGGCTTGCTTCACACTGCCTGCTTCGTGTTCAGCACCTTTGCCAAAACTGACGGGGCAGGGATGGGGGAAATGAAGGCTCCCTGAAGGCACCCCCCACTCCTGGGCGTAGGAAGAGTAACCTTCAGTCAGACTGAAGAAACAGGACAGGACAACGGAAAAACATTGCAAACATTTATTCTTTAAACGACTCTACACTATCTTCGTGGTACCACTCCCATCTGCAATGCTTCCCGGAGTGCAAGTTGTAGCCACGTCCAACTCCATCAGCTGCAGCTCCACTATCTGGCCCCAGCCCCGGTGGAGAAGGACCGCTTGGTGCTGGACGTGTGCTGTGATTTGCAGCAGCAGGAGCAGCAGGAGCAGCATTGCAGCTGCTAACAGGGAGCTCACTGCCTGCCCATGCAGCAGCACCTGACTGCATCTCTGCCTGCAGGCTTCTGCTCTGCTGGCCCTCCTTCCAACCCAGGGCCTGCGAGGAGGCAGCCGGTCTTCTCCTTCTAGCACCAACAGTCTGCTTGAATCTTCTTTGGCACTGGAGACGATCTCTCTTGAAATAGGGGTGATAGGAGCAAAGTAACTGCAAAAAGCAAAGAGGAAAAGTGAGTCACCACCATTTCAAGACTGGGAAAACAAAGATACAAGACGTAAGAATTAGAATCTCAAGAGACCATCAGAACGGGCTCTCAGGAGCCATTTCCACATGGAAGAATTCAGTTCCACACCTTTGTTTCATAGCACGTGAGGCAGACATTGGCAAATCCCCATGCGTGATGTAGAAGCCATGGTGATGAAAGCGATGAAGAAAACCTTTCATGCTGCCAACATCAAAAACTTTGAGAGCTCCTCCTCTGGCCAGTGGTCCTCAATCACGATGAAGTCTCCGTCATTGCCCCACCCGATGGACTGGAAGCCATCACTTTCAACAACTTTCCAGAGACTGTTGAGAAAGAAGCAGGATTATATATATAAAACCATTTGCTTGAAAAAATATCACGATAAAAAGCGAGATTATCTCTTTTTTTCCAGACAAATTTAAGAGTAAAAATCCTGCACCAATTAAATTCTTGATAACACTTGGATTGATCGCTTTATATCTCTCAGAATTGATTGCTGAACACCAGCCAATTTGAGGGCTTGCTGATGGACTCCTCAGCTGAGACAGCATGTTTTAAAAGATTAAAATATGGTAGTGAGGCTCTTGAAATTTGGAAAATTGAAAGCGAAGTATGTACTGTTTAAGTGGAGAAGAGGGCTAAGAAAAGTGCCACTTTCCAAGTTCATTGCTTCAGCTGAAAAGACCTTAATCTGGCAGATCCACAGAGGGAAACATCAGTCATAGCACAGGAATCAGTTCACCTTTTTCCCTGCATAAAAACTGAAAATAGGTCATTTTTTATGGACTCAGGGAAAAACTCTCCATCTCATGTACTACCAAATGCAGTGCTGCTACTCTAAGAGCAATTATAAAATCATCTGTACCAGTTTCATTGTACCACTCTTTTTTTATTTTTATTTATTTTTATTTTTATTTTTTTTATTTTCATTTTATTTTTTATTTTTATTTTTAGTGCCAGTAACTATTTCTCTAATATTTGGGACATGAAGGCAGATATTTGCAGATCGTTTAATAAGAAAAGAACAGTAGCTTCAATTCTACAATATTTTTTTCTTTGTTGTACATTATTACTATTATTATTTGAAATTAGATAACTCCCCTTAAACAAATAACTTCATGGTTTTCAAAAGTTTTATGAGAAATGTCAAACTGTCACATCATTGACGTGAGGATTTTTTTTTTTTAGTGTTTATCTATTTGAATACAGATATTACAACAGAGACATTTTTAGAGAGTAATTTCATAATTCTCTGTGAAAACTAATGAGCAAACTGTTATCTGGGCTTCTCCAGTGACTTCTAATAAAAACCTGCTGTTTTCATTTTCCTGATTGTAACAAATATAAGCAAGTTTTGTGTTTTCTGTCACCCTTCTGCAGTGTCATGCTACTGTGGCTCTATGGGCTGTCATACTATTACAGTGTAGATAGTTGAGCAGAACACGGAAAAGAAAAGCAGGTACCATCTCCAATACATCCTCAGGATACAGTATGATTCACAAACACAAGAAATTGAATAATTAATCCTAAAGTGAACGTGAAGTGAAGCTTAAAGGTCAGATGAGCTGATAGGCATGTTTTGCAGCATAACAATTTTTGAAATTGTGTTGAACTTCTGTAGGTTATACACGGCTGGAAATGCCAAGCATCTGCTTTCTGTTGAGCTTCAGCATTAGTTTTTGAAGTTAGACAGATTAAGATCAGTCTTGCATGAAAAAGGAGAAGTAAAGGATAATTTCTGTGGGGAAAGAATCAGAATTTTTAAGTTCCCCTTGTTGTGGAGGACTTGATCATTTATTCCACTGCTAATAGTAAATTAAGTCTTTAAATGTCAGACTATTGTTCTGCATTTCTTAGATCAGCACCGTAGAAAACCTCTCACTACTGCTGGCCCAGCATTCACCCAGTAGGAAGGGGACCTGCAGGGAGTTAACAAGCACAGTTTGCCTTGCTGCTTGTCTGTAAAATGTTCAAAGCAATGCTCTTGCAGTCCAAAAACTTCACAAGCATACTACACTCCTGTTGGCTTCAGTGCCTTCACAGTTCCCTCAAAATCAGTATCCAAAACTGACTTATCCAGAAAGACTAAAGCAATCACACTGGAAATGTAACTTTTCTAGGTTAGAAATTAAGTGCATTAGCCACACAAAGCAGAAATGCTGAGAAGTCTGAAAATAGACAGCTATGTTGTTTCCACTGACAATAACATAATGTACTTTGTCAACACCAAATTCCCTGGTAAAAATATAAATACATATAAAATAGAGGATGGTAAGCATTTTTATAATGACAACAACAGTCATCTGAAAATACACTGTAAAATATTAATGTCTCAAGATTATGTGTGTGCTAATAAACAGAAAAATCAGACAGAAGGAAACATTAATTTAAACATGCACTGTACATGATAATAGAGAATTACAGTGAGACATTTTTTCCTTCTGTTGTAAAATACTACTCCCTAAGCAGCAAAACCTCTGAGGACATATGACAGTTTTGGCAGTATAAAGTTTGAAAATACATGTAGTAATTTTGATGAAAATACACAGCATTTTAGTTTTATTTTTTCTAAATTAAAAAATGCAAACTTTTAATTTTAAGATATAACTTTGCTTGTATTACTCATTTCTTATTAAATAAGCAAAATCAACTCAGGAATCATATATTTGAAATCATCAATTATAGAATGGCATTTCTTTTGAAAATTTTGATTGAAAATTATTTAGAGATTCTGTACTTAAGGATTTTTTTTTTTTTCCCAAAAACCATTTAACAACACTCAGATGTTAAATTTCAATATTGTCCAATGTCATCCTACAGAGCACCAAGGGTAAAGTCAAAGCTTTCATGCTTGAGACAACAGAGGATCTCATATTCAGCGCCTCATAAATCCATCGTTAAAAATTCTGTTTATGTTAAGTTATAAAATACAACATTAAGAAGTTTTCTTCATCAGTTTCACTTAATCCATGCCATGTTTTACATTACATAACAATCCTGGCCTGCATTAGAAATAGTGTGGGCAGCAGGAGCAGGGAGGTGATCATCCCCTGTACTCAGCACTGGTGAGGCCGCACCTCGAGTGCTGTGTTCAGTTTTGGGCCCCTCACTACAGGAAAGACATTGAGGCCCTGGAGCGTGTCCAGAGAAGGGCAACGAAACTGGTGAGGGGTCTGGAGCACAGGTCTTATGAGGAGCAGCTGAGGGAGCTGGGATTGTCTAGTCTGGAGAAGAGGAGGCTCAGGGGAGACCTCAGCACACTCTACAACTTCCTGAAGGGAGGTTGTGGTGACGAGGGGTTTGGCCTCTTCTCCCAGGCAACGAACAGGACCTGGGGAAATGGCAGCAAGTTGTACCAGAGGAGGTCTAGGTTGGACACGAGGAAGAACTTTTTCTCTCAGAGAGTGGTCAGACACTGGAATGGCTGCACAGGGAGGTGGAGGAGTTGCCATCCCTGGCAGTGTTCAAGAGGCGTCTGGACGAGGAGCTGCGAGATCTGGTTTAGTTTGTGGTAGCACTGGTAATGAGAAGATGGTTGGACTAGATGATCTTACAGGTCGTTTCCAACCTTGATTCTATGTTCAGTGGAGCCCTGGGCAGCCTGTTCTAACGGGTGGCAATTGTCCATGGCAGAGAGGTTGAAACTAGTTGATCTTTAAGATGTTGACCAGCTGAAGTCATTCTATGATTTTATGAAAACTGGGACAACCTTTGATTGTTTCCAGCTGAGTAAGACCTCTTTGGATTCTCGAGACCGTTGAAAAATATTTGAGAGACCTCACAGTGACATCAGCCAGCTCTTTGAGTACCATGGATTAAATTCCATTGGCTCTCATTTATGTGCATCTAAATGGAGCAGAGAATCCTGCACAAGTTCAGGGTTGTGTGAAGGTTTATCTTTGCTACAGTCATGGTCCTCCAACTTGATGCTCTGAGGCATCCAGGGCTCATCATTTAGGAAAAGGCTGTGGATGATAAATTTTCAAAGGAATGTTTTTCTAATTATGAGCTCTTCATCATATATCTTCAATATTTGACATTATTTACATTGTATGTCAATTCAGTCATTCATTGTTTTATAGGTAGCAGTAGAACAGTAATGAGAAAAAATAAGGTAAAATGAAATGTAAACTACTGTATCATGTTCCATGGCCTTTGTTTAAAGAAGAGTTTCTTGCTACAGCTTTAATTCAAAATGAGCTACTCCACTGCTAATAAAGCAACAACAAAACTTTGAAGAAAATGAGTTCTCCTAAAATTCAAGTCGATCTCTTCTGTCTTCCTATCTATTAATACTTGCCTTAATAAGACAGTTATGTTTTATAGACATTAAATGTTCAAAGAGGACAAAGAGAAAACACCTGGCATTATTGAGCTTCTCAGAAGGAGAAGAAATACTGTTCTGAGATTGAATTATTTAAGATTAAACTAACAGTGAAGATTAGTATGCATAGAAAACTGAGGGCAGACTCCTGCCTTTTCAGCAGTCTCCACACCACACAGGTCTGCCCAATTTTTCTTGTTTGGTTTTTAGCCTGTTCTACTTATTTCTCATCCTAGCAGTGAAAGAGAGAGGTGTCTTGAAATTTTAGACAGTAACATTGCCAATATTCTTTGCAATTCAACAGCCAAAGTAACTATTTTTAAGCAGAATCGTGAGAAAGAATGCCATTTTATGAACAGCAATGCCAGTGATCTGTGGACAGCATGAGCTAGTTCAGAAAAGAAAGAAAAAGAGAGAAAAAATTTCTCATAGTATTTTTTTCCCTCCATTTTCTGTATATTGCCAACCACAATAAAAAGAAAGTTTGTTCTGACTCAGTAGACTTTGAATATAATGGTTTCAACTGCAGGCATCTCTCATGTATAGATATTGCAAATCATTTGCAATAAAGCAGTCTTTAATTCAGTCTCCAGAGCAAAAGATGAGTGAGTTTTTGTAATGTTATGGTTATGACGGTATAAAGTCTTATTGCATATTATATTCATTTTGCAGCTACTTGAGGTCAGCCTAACATTTCCCAGCTGGAAAATAATTACCTTCCACTGTTTCCCCATCTTGAGCTACATCCCTAAAATAAACACATGCCTACTGATTGAATGAATAGCATAGAAGAACACAGTTCACTCTCTGCAGTTAATATCTACTTTTCCCCTCCTTAATAGCAGAAAGACTGGAGATGAGACTACCCTTGCACCCTTGATAGTCTTGTCCTTGTGTGTCCCTGTCTTTCGTGGCTTTGCTTCCATCTCCCCAGCCTTTGTACAAATATTCTTGTGCTGATGGCTGAGGCACCTAGATAGGTACAGCACCTGGATAGCTTTTTTTTTTTC